GATCGATCGTATTAGTCATGTTGGTGTTATTCCAACCGGTTTCACGATCAGTACTGAGTTATACTTGATTCAATCGGCTGGCATTTCACCGACATGATAACCATGTTTACCACATAATCATTGTTGTCAAACCAATCGATCATATGTAGGCTATAGTACAATCAGGCTCAACTGGAATTGTAACAAAATCGAATGGAAGACCACTGGTATGAAGCGCGCGATAGTCAACATATAAACATATTTGAAGACAATGTACTTACAATCTACATGCATAATTAAATAAAAAAAAGGTTTAAGAAAATAACAAATTCTCATTTTTAAATACAATATTTTAGCATCAATACTCAAACATTTATATTTACAACAAATAACATCAACATTTCATTTTTAAATTCATGAAATAATTCATAAATTAAATTCTTTTTTTAATTAAATTCACTAAAACATTGTCATTATGTTCAAAGACCACAAATCGATTATGTTGATCATACTGGTGGTATTCCAGTTTGTTTCATGATCATCGGTACTGGTCATACAAGGTTCAACCAGCTGGCATTTCACAGGCATGATAACCATGTTTACCACACAAGCATCGTTATCAAACCGCTCGCGCGTGTTGGCTATAGTACAATCAGGTCAACAGACATTAAAAATCAATTGGTAGACCAACGACACGATGCGGTAGACCAATTTTATCCTTTTATTAATAAATTTTGTGAGACCTAAAACCGCAATATGTTCAATTTGGTATGTTTTAGTCCAAATATCGAATTGATCCATACGGACCCTAATGAATGGTTGTATGTGTTTATGAGTCTGAATTAATTTCCCAATACAAAATGGATCATTACCAATTGCGCGATGGAGATCAAAGTCCTCCATTTGCATGCTAAATCCCTTCCCTCTCGTTGAACGTTGTTTGTTCCCTTTTGAATATTTCAAAGATAGACAGAAGATTAATTTTATGTAATCAAGTAAGAAAACCATATATGGAAAAGTCTTCCATTCCATGCACGTTCCAAGTTTCCAACTACGGGGTACTTTTCAGTCACTTATTAAGCAAAGGCAGAGCGGGAAAATGAAGCGACGGACACACCATCATTCAAAGAAAGAGGGAACACAAACAAACGTAATAACTAATCAATGCCAGAGCTTTTGGTTTCTTTTCTGTTTTAAGTTCTGTATTTGCGTTGTGGCTCCCTGAACTTTTGGTGTTTACTAATGAAGTCGTGTCATGCAATGATATGCTTAAATGTGACGAATTTGTTATGTGCTATGATTCAAAATGTTATCAAATATGTGCATCGTACTTATGTGATATAAACACATATGTATTAACAAATTTGATGTGTTGTTAACCAATTAATTAACTTCTCTCCAAATTAACCTTTAAACTGATGACGCTTACATTTTCGTTAGAATCAACTATATTATATATGGCTATATTTGTCACGGATTTCCCTAACCCTTTATCCTACCCAATAATATATAGAGGTTCTGTGGCAACACCTCCTTAATTCGACTTTTCCAGCCCTCTCCGCATAGCTAGGAAGGACTGTTTTGTCTTTCTATATCTCATATACTTTACAGTTAGTAAATTTATCGATTTAATTAGGTGTTGTGGGCTTGGCCCATAAGAAGCAAAATCAGTTTACTAGGGCTCCAGGGTTATTCATCCCCAACAGTAGGTTCTTTCCCTCCAATTATTTAAAAGGTAATATATTTTCAATTTGGAAATTCTATGCTGGAATTACTCATCAACTTATAAGACACGCATATGAGATAATAAAATTATTTTTATTGATGAACAATCTTGATTTATGAAATTGTACCATGTAGATAATGTTGCTGTTAAATAAATCAAAAATATATAATGTATCTTACATCAGCAAAAGACCGACCAAAAGCAAAAGATGTATCTATCTACACACTCATTTAAGGAGATTCTCTAAAGGGAGTGCGTTAAAACCAAATTTGAAGGCCTCTCCGCAGCTCACGGAAGGCTATGAAAGTATTTTTCTTTATTTTTTTTTTAAACCCTTTTTTTTTTAATAACTATTGTTACTGTGTATTTATTGGGTTGGGCTCTTAATGGACTTTGCGGCAGAGAATTAACCTCTCCGCATAGGGAAATTTGGTAATTTTGATGGGCTTAAAATACTCTATTTATTGATTAAAAACAAATTCGGACCATGGTTGTTAACCCGCCAGCATGTCATCGGTTGAATCTGGTTCAAGCTGTGCCAGTAATGAAACTAGTGAATTTAGTTAATTTAGTTAATAAAAATTAATTTTAAATTTATTATATGAGTTTAAAATTCAAATGTTGATGTTATTTGTTGAATTCAAATATAAACGTTTAGATATTAACGTTAAATGTTATATTTAAATATGAGCATTTGTAATTTTATTTGGAATGTAAACATCAATATGAATTATAAATAAATTCTTCAAATATGATTTTATATGTGATTAAATTTATTTCATGTTAATGATTTTTCACATTTAAACATATTTTGTTAACCGACATGGACCGACACAAACTGATTGTACCATCGGTCGAACCATTCCACTTGCTAAACTTGCACACTGGTATAAACCGATTTGACAACCTTGACTCCAACTAAAAAAGAAAATACCTTTTTAATTAACATGTTATGTATGAGCTTATTTACTATACTGTATTGAAGTTTGCACATACCATTTGAATTTGTGTCATAGCGGAAAAATAATGTTTAGACGAACAAGGGATTGGTCTATTAGTAATACCACTAGCCATGAACCTTGAGGTCCCAGGTTCGAGTCCCTTCAGTAGTACCTAATAACAAAAAAGTAACCTATATCACCCTTATCTAAAAAAAAATTATAAGTTTAGTTTGTATCATAAAGCAATTTGTACGAAAATATATACGTGCAAATTGTGCCATAACGTTAAAGGTACATTTTCATATTTGTATCGTAAATGAATTTATATGAAAAGATATAGGTACAAACTAAATTTGTACCACAACACCAAAGGTACAAATTCAGTTTGTACAATAAAGAAATTTGTACGAAAATGTATAAACACAAACATGTTCTATAAATATTATTTTTTTCTAAATGAAACAACCAATGGTATGAAACCGTGTGAAATTTCTCTAAATATATTTATTAAAACTATTATTAGCAGTTATGGTTTATTGTATCAATTTAGGTAATTTAGCTTATTGTTAGTTCATTAACATATTAGGTGTATAATTCAAGGCGCATAACCATTCCATTATTAGTTTTTAATTAATCATATTTCATTTGTTCTAATCAAATTATTAATTTTTAATTAAAAATATAAGTATATTATACTAAATAAAATCATGTTCATTATGATATATTTCGGAACAAAAAACATGTTAATCTAGCATTCTATAGCATCATGTACTAAAGCATGTATGAGCTATCAATTCTTCTATAATAGTACTCGATTTATGTGAAAATTTCTAATAATATCCACACCATTAATTTTTCATTAGATTATTATGAAAGTTGGTCTTGTTAGTGTTGTGGTATATGATCCACGATTGAACCTCTCCCAACAACTTGAGTTATTGGGATCAACTGGTTCTTGACATGGTATCAGAGCCTAGAACCGAAAGGTCATGTGTTCGAATCTCCACGACCCCCAATATTAACCGTTGCTTTCAAGCACATGGTATGGTGGGCCTGTGCAAACTTCAAGCCCGTGGGTTGGCTTTCGTTTGAGGGGGCGTGTTAGAGAGTGGTATAAGATCCAGCATAACCTTCTCCCAACAACTCGAGTTATTGGGACCAATTGGTTCATGACAGGTCTCACCTTGCTGATTGAACTTTGAAGAAGCTCACAATCTTTCTTAAGTCAACTTAGAATGATCATAATGTTCCTCACTTGATTCATGATTTATAGGAATCGATTTCCTGCATGCCTTTTATTTTTACTTTAAGTAAGAACTTCAGTCAATAAATTAGGTTAGCATGTTGAAAATTATAAGAGTATGATATTGCCAGTAACTAAATTATTTGAAATTTCTTATAGTACATAATAAAATATGTCTTGCTTTGGATAATTACTATGGTTATTTACACTGATGTTGAAATTCATCCGGCCAACGGGCGGGCATGAATCTAGTTATTATTTTATGTAGTTTCAAAAAATAATGGGTTGTTATGGTAGGAAAACGTGAAAGTTGTTACAAATGGAATGGTGTTGCGAATGTGAAAACTCCAAAGCAAACTAATCAAAAGGGCTTTTAAGCCCAATATGACAAACCGAGAGGAGCCCATGGCCAGCAAACGCAAGAAAATAAAATAAAACGATTTATTTTGAATCCAGCCCAGTTACGTTATATGATGGTGGGAATTATCCGTCTTATATAATTGAATTCGTCTTCCTCCAAAACCCTAACCCTTTCAAGCCACCGCGACAGCCGTAACTCACCAGGTTTGTCCGCCGGCATACCTCAATTTCTCTTCGGACTCTCTTATGGATTTCTAAGCCTAGCTGTTTGGATTTTTTTGTGTGTTCGGCCGTAGAGAGAGGAGCTCCTTCAATTCGTTTCTGTACGTTTTCAATGGATACGCATATAGTCTAATACTAGCAGGAAAATGAACTATAGATCTCATATTAGTTTACTTGCTTTTGTGCTCAGTTCTCCCGCACAGTCTTCCCTTCTGATATCCATGTCCTGATTTTCTTTCGTCGCTGGGATATAATTGTGTGGTTTTGCTTCTCGCCCACTGTATTTCACCGTGTGGTGGATAGTGTTTTGATTCTTCTGGCTTTTGTGAACAGGTAAGAAGTTGTGGGTTTTGCTCGGAGCTCCCAACAATGGCGCCTAAAGGTATTTACCTTTTCTTTCTTGTTTAAACCCATTCCCGTTTTCACGATGTCTGAACATAGAAGTTAGAAATGAGTTCCTTAGCTTAGCTTCATCTTCCTTCCCCTGGGTTGCCGTAGTTGTATTGATGGTGTTATTAGTGGGATTATGTTCTTAGCGGAATCTGAGGGTCAGAAAGATGAATTGTTGCGTTTTGATAAGGCCTGTGTCTGGTTTTGAAGTTTTGAATCTGCACCCATTTTTGCAGCTGATGCTACCAAGAAGGCTGATCCGAAGGCACAGGCTGCTAAGGCAGCCAAGGCTGTGAAATCAGGGCCAACATTCAACAGGAAGGCCAAGAAGATCAGGACCAAGGTCACCTTTCATCGCCCCAGGACCCTGAAGAAGGAGAGGAACCCCAAGTATCCTCGCATCAGTGCACCTCCAAGGAACAAGCTTGACCATTACCAGATTTTGAAGTTCCCATTGACTACTGAATCTGCAATGAAGAAGATCGAGGACAACAACACCCTTGTCTTCATTGTTGATCTCCGTGCCGATAAGAAGAAGATCAAAGCTGCCGTCAAGAAGATGTACGACATTCAGGCCAAGAAAGTTAACACCTTGATCAGGTTAGCATGACATTTAGGTTCTTTTGAAGTCAAGACTCAAGAGTAGTGTGAATTAGATGACTGGTATATTTAGGATTGATTTTGTAAATCTAAACTCAATTTCCCTTGTGGGTGTTCTCATTGCAGGCCTGATGGAACCAAGAAGGCTTATGTCAGGTTGACTCCAGACTATGATGCCTTGGATGTGGCAAACAAGATTGGGATTATCTAAATTTCACGATTTTGTACTGCTTCTCAGACTCTAGCATTGTTTTCAAGTTTTGGACAGTTTTGCTAGTTATGTGGTGTTAGCAGAGTCCATCCATGTCTGTACCTGTCTTTCCTCTGGAGAACTCAAGTGTTCAATTTAGTTTACCGACCTTTTCTTATTGATGTTCCATTATACTTCCAATTTAGTATCCTTTATCCTATCAGTGGATGGGCCAGAGTTGTGACTTGCTGTGGTATCCCACGTAGATAGTCTGCTGCAAATTGTTGATCAAGTTCATGCGCTTTGATATTGAATTTGCCTACTTTGTCAACCAAGAAACACCAGAAGGAAGATAGAGAGATGTATATATTTGAAACTGGAAACAGGTAATGAATTTTGGTGATTATAAGCCTTATACAACTCTGCAAAATGCACAGCAATTTTGTGCTTTCAATATGAAAGGAAATAGGTTCGTCCTTTGTGAGAATTGTCACTTCAGAAAATTGGTAACTTTGAATGATTCCACGATTGTCTGCAACTGATCCTTCACCTTCCCCCATCTCCTTTCATTAGCTCCTGTTGTCAAGGTGTACAGCTTTCCTGCAACATACATGAGACAGAAGATGAATGGTTGAATCACGTAGCAAAGAGTTAACCTCACTTGTAACTTTTTTTGACAGAGCCTTAGAGAAGGAAAGTGATATATGTTCTTACCATTGCCAATGACAATTGCACTAAGGGCGTGGCGGGTGAAGTTGGGAGCCTGAGCTACAAACTCGAATGTGTAATAAGCTCTTCCATCAACTTCTTGCTGCAACCATTAACATGCAACTGTCTTCATATGAAAGCAGAGAAGTAATAGCATTTCATGAAATTCTCATGCTGTTGATGGTTTATGATGGAATCGTAAGAAAACCACATTCAAAATCAACCATGCATTCCTCCAAGCAATATCAAGGGGAAACAAGAGCAAACCAACGAACCTCCTTGGCTTCAATGAGTTTGGTCTTCTGGGAAGGAGGGGCTAAAACCTTCTTGATCAGTGTTCCTGCAACCTGATCAGGGGGCCCGAAATCTCGAATATCTTCCTTGTTCGTCGGAAACACGGTTACACTCACACTTTCAAGTGGCTCTATCACATCTTTGTACACTTTATCTTGACCTTCAATCGTCACTTCCTGGAAAAAAAGCAACATCAATTGTTATGCAAGTTCCGAATAAGCAGCAGAGGCAAGGGCAGCAGCAAAGCAAACAACAGTAGAATGAAGGCCATACTTGCCAACCGAATGGGTAGAGGAATGAGTATCCATCCTTATTGTCCGTCACCGGCAGGAATCCCTTTTTATTTTCTGCAGCAACTGAACCATATCAAGGATGGCCTCTTAGGACATTCTATTGCACAAACCTTTGCCCACCACCACAACTAGACAGAGAGTTTCCATTGCTATATCTCAGTATATATATATGAAGCAAGCCTGCATTTGGGTCAATGGGCACTTACATGAAGTAGAAGAAGTTAGATCAACCAGGGAAACGAAAGGAGCAATCATCCCAACAGCAACCAATTGGCGTCTCCCCGATGATATAGCTGCAATAAACAACATAGAGTGCGAACCATTTGGAACCCCATATTTTGACTAAACTTGACCCTCAAAACTGGTCAATTCGTCGACCCTTTGCTATAAAACGTCCAATTGGAAAAATGCCAGAAACCCCATTGTCAAGTTCTGTCGCATTAAGAGAATGCCGACTCAGCAAGCTTAAGTGAAAGTGAAGGCAACGAGACTCACTCGGAGCTTGAGAAATGGAAGCAGGGGAACTAAACGAAGATTGGTCGGCTCGAACAAGAAACGAAACCCCTCTTCCTTGCAGCTGCTGCTTCTGCAACCCTCCAGCCTGCTGCAAAACCCAACAAGAATAATGAGCCCATTACATAAGAGAGCAAATTAAGGTGATTGGGGAGGGAGTCGGGTATTGGGGAAAACAGAGGACCTGCTGAGGGAAGAAAGACAATGTGCGATAGAGAGAAGGTGCATTTTGGAGGGAAGCCATGGCCGGCCGAGCGGCTGTGTAAAGGTACAGAATTGAATTGAAGAGAGAGTCTGGGCCGGGGATTGAGTTTGTGAAATGTGGGGAATGGTGATGAAGAAGATGATGATGATGATGATGATGATGACTGTCTGTTTCTGTGGTGGAGACGCGAGCTTCTTCTCTTCTTCAATTGATTCTCTTCTGTTCACGCTGGCTTATCCGTTCTTGTTCAGTTTTTCTAGTTTTTCCGCGAAAGGTCCTCTATTTCCTTTTTAATCGACAAATCAGTCCTCCCGCTTTGATAACGGCCCAATTGAGTCCGGCCCAAAATTTCAGTAGGCCGATCCAGAGGCCCAGTCGGAAAACAGGTGGTTGCCCTTAAAATAGTAAAAAATTAGTGGGGAAAGAATTTTTAATATGAATTTGATTAAGACATGTTTAACGTGACAAACTAATATCTTTACTGCGTCCAAATTTTTAGTATAAAAATTAATGAAAAAGATTTTATGATAAAAAGGAATCGGGAGTAATTTCGCTGAGGGAAAAAGCGAGAGAAGGACAGAACAGATGCACTGGCAGAAACAATATATTAATAGTAAAATTCACTAAATTGAAAGAGAAAAAGTGTCATTAAATTAAGAAATAATAGAGAAACTGAACCACACGCGCTCCAGCCAATGCTCGATCTCTTTTTTACCAGCTCACCACAGCTGGATGCTCTGGAGAAAGGATCCGTTCAGGTCACAAATGCCACCAAAAAAAAAAAAAAACCCGCTAATGCAGAACGAACATTTGTTTTCTTATTATTTGCTTACAAATTGTAATTAAGAAAGAGAGAATTTCATTGTTCAAACAATTTCACATGCTTTTGTCTCGTTTTAATCAGTGGCTTTAATCAAATGAACGGCGGCGGCCGTCGACTGCGCTGCGGGCTGCTGCCTTGACAGTTCGCCGCCGGTGATTAGGTGTTTCTTTTGCATCTTGGACTAATCGAACAAGCCGGCGAAAAAGCACAAACGTGTCGATTTGACCGGTGTGCTTCCAAGGAACACCTTTTTATCAAGTAGTGTGTAAAGAGATTGAGATTGGGTCTGAGAACTGAGATTTGAAGGGAAACTGAGGGTGGATTTAGGAGAAGGGGAAGACGAGGGAAGGAAGAAAAATGAGGGAGAAGGGAAAGAGAATCTTACCATTAGTAACAATATTCTTCTAATCCATTTCATAGTTATAGAATACATACCTCGTTAAATTCTAGTAATTTAGAAAACTAACACAAAAAGTAACATCAGCTCAAAAGATAAAATAGCTCGAATGTAATGTTTATAATATTCTGTTACTCAGAAATGACTAAAAATATATGATAGATGTATATGCTATTTGAGTGCATTCAATGATTGTTGGTTGTGAAATACGAAATCGAACGACATAAACTCTAACACATGCTTTGCGACACACAATTCTTAATTACATTCGTTCACAATTATATAAGTTTTATTGATATGTCATTTAAAATTACAAATCACACTTTATTGGTGTCAAATTTCTCTAATAGAGGAGGGGGAAAAAGAACGAACAAATGCAAAAATGAAATGTCCGTAAAAACAAATAAGGGCTTGGTCAAGTAGTAATACCACTAGGCTAGAACCTGGAGCTCCCAGGTTCAAATCCCCTTAAGTAGTACCTTAATTACAAACAAGAAACATATATCTAGGGCAGTGGCGGAGGCAGCCCTATTGGGCATTGTCCCGGGACAGGGGTAATTTTGGGAGCAACAAAAATACTTCATATATGTTTATACGAAGGATGGAACACAACACTATTGTACTTCGTTACTATATCACAACTCATTATTTATCATAAATTGACAATGAATTAATTATTATACAATAAACGAAATCTCAATTGGAATAGATCTCTTTTCTTTATATGCCTATTCGATTATTTGCAAGCAATTTTGAAGCAGTCCAGTAGCAGCGCCGATTCCACTAGTTTTGACGGCAAGTGTCGATAAAATATTTTCAGCTTTGAGCTATCTGAAGAACGAACTTTGAAGTCGAACTCACGACCAGTTTGCTAATGGTTGTTTAGTGAGATCCATTGAAAAGGACTTACTTAAGTGTGTAGACAAAGAATGTATTGTGTGTTTCTTCCGAATATGAAAACTCGCCATGGTTGTTTATGAAAATACCGATTGTAATAGTAGTTATTTTTTATATATGAAAATAAATTATTAAGATATTATTAATTTAATTATATTTATTAAATATTTATATATTTATAATACGAAAAGAGGACGGGTAGTTTCAAATCCTGCCTCCGCCACTGATCTAGGGGGTGTTCAAATGGTTACCATGGTTATAACCAAACCAAATAAGGGTAAATTCCATTAACCATGGAATACAATATCATAACCAAACCGTCCAAACTAATACAACAACCAAATTAACCAAACTAAAGTTTAATTGGTTTGGTTAATTGGTTAACCAGATTAACCAATATAAAATCACATTATCATTGACGATGAAAATTTTCCAGTTAATGCAACAATTCACAATTTATATAATGAATAAAACATAACAATCAACACGTAGTTATAGTTGACCATTCCTTTCAAGTTTGCATCCATCATAATGTATGAAATTTATCTAAATTAGACGTCCATATGTCGTGGTCTACATTTTACATATACAAATATACACTATATGAGCAATATTGAGCTTTATATTTTATGAGTTTAAAAGGGATGAACGTTAACTCTTGAGTGGTTATGCAAAATATTAAGTATATGTATATAATATATGTTAGATATATGACTAATTACTTAACTGGTTAATTTGGTTTGACTGGTTAGGAGTGTCTGAAACCAAACCAAACCACCTAAACCAAACAAGCTAAAAACTTTAACCAACCAAACCAATTATCCAAATTAACCAAACCAAATTATCCAAATAGTACCGGTTAAAACGGTTACCATGATAACCAAACCGTTTGAACCCTTATGACACCCTTATAATAAAAAAAAAGTCCGTAAAATGTTTTTTTTTGGGCAGGATTAAAGTAAAGTATGCATTAATTTACCCAAAAAAAATATTTCGTTTGGCGACCGCGGGTGCCTGGCTGAAAGCCTGAACTTACTCTGTGTCCGCCTCTTTTGACTCAGTCGTCTTCTTCCTTCCTCTAACCCCAACATTTTTTTTTTTACAATATTCCCCCTTCGCCCGATTTTCCTTTCGCTAGAGAAAAGAAAAATTCTCCATCTCCTTTTCCCGGCCGAGAAAATCACAAGCAAACAGAAAGTGCGAGAAAACGAGAGCAGAAACGAAGACAGGCAAATTGAGGAACAGTCGTGTGGTCATCACCCTCAAGCTCCCAGGCTAGGCTACCTACTCAACAACCAGCCAACATCATTCCCACAGTCGTATTCTTTCATTTCGTCGTGGAAACCTGCCGACTCTCCTCTAAATTTAGCGGATCTGCTGCTAAATTTAGAGGAAGAACAGCTGAAAGGGGGAGACACAGGGAGTGAATTAGGGTTTTGATACATACTACTTGCAATCTCAAACACACCCTTCTCCTCTCTCGGGGTTCTCTATTTGCATCTCTCGCCAAGATGATGATCTCACGGGGACTGTTCGGCTGGTCTCCGCCACACATACAGCCGTTGACGCCTGTTTCCGAGGTGTCGGAGCCGCCGGAATCCCCCTCGCCTTACCTCGACGCCAGCGCGGAGGCCGCAGCAGCTGCCGCAGCTGTGCAGGCCGATGCCGAGGAAGAGATGGAAGAAGGCGAGGAGATGGAGCAGCCTCCAGCTGCCGTTCCCTTCTCCAGGCTGTTTGCTTGCGCAGACCGGTTGGATTGGGTGCTCATGATCGTTGGGTCGGTTGCTGCGGCTGCCCATGGGACTGCCCTAGTTGTTTACTTGCATTATTTCGCCAAGATTATTGAGGTTATGCGGGTTGGTAGTAGTACTGCGGAGGAGCGGTATGATAAGTTCATGGATGTGAGTATCGATTGATTTCTCCTCTCCTTCTCGTGGGCATTTTGAGGCTTGTTGCTTGTGTTCAAGGTGGATTAGATGCGAGCTTTGGTTACTTGAGCTCGCGGCGTGTCTTAGAATGGTTTCTAGTTGATGCACAGCCTGCTTAATCTTTTGGAAATGTGATTTGTTCTCTTGCCCGAGCTCCATGATGCATTCTATTCAACTGCTGTATCAGGCATGGAATTTGGGGATTGTTTGCTTATGATACAGGCCAGTTCAGTTTTACCCGTCTAGAGGTTTTATAGTTAGTGTTTCGTCTAGGAAATGTTAGTTTTAACTTTATGACTGTTAGTCAGCTTGGTGTTTGCAGTATAGGGTATTTACTCTAATTGAATCTTGATTGATAGCTGCTCGTCTGAAGTCTTGTGCTTTAAGACTCGTCAGATTGCCGTTGAACCTTAGAGGATCTGTAGTATGATAAACTGGAGTAACGTAAGCTTGACAAAAGCAGTTTGTAGAGATTGAATACTCTGTAAATATTAGACTCTGGTCTACGATGTGGACATACTGAATTATTTGATATGGTGAGAGCTTTGCTTTCCAATGTGCTGATAATAGGGCATCAGGGGTTATATATTTTGATGAACCATGGGGAATGGTGGTTGTCCAGGGCCTGATTTGTGTTTTTCGGTAGTTGTTGGGGTACGTTCTGATTTCAATGGATTATTTCCTTCTTTGGACTGCCTACCAGTGAGCAATTTGACATAACTTTTTGAAGTGTAGCATGGACAATGGTGGAAGTTAGGTATCAAGTTTTTGAGTTTTCAAAAGATTTCAACTAAGCTATTTGGTTTTGATAGGCTATGTGTGAACGTTTTAAGATGCCAAGGTTAGATTGTAGGAAATGGTTTTATAGATTGCTTCAAAGATTTTCTTCTTCCAGTGATCTTCCTCAATTTAATTTGCCCTCGAGATGGTACGAGAGGCTGGATGGCATGTGCTGGTTTGATGACTATTGAGCATTGCTGGACTGATGACGTGTGAATGTTTTCTTCTCGGTTCCTGGATGTTTCACTTGTTTAGCTGGCTATACTAGATACTGCTTGACATTATGTGCTTAATACCATAAAGTGTGGCCCATTTTTTCTAACTTTTGCATTTCTCTTATGTAGCTTGCTTTAGCCATTGTTTATATTGCCGGGGGTGTTTTTGCTGCTGGTTGGATAGGTAACATTAAATACTGGTTATGCTTATTTCAATCCCAC